ACAATGCAACCTCTACAGCTAAGGCTCATGGAACATAGAACAGGGGTAAAGGAGAGGATACTAATAAATCTATCATTCCTCAATAATGAAGCTCCCTCCTGCAGCAGAGGGCCAGGAACACAAAAGTCAAAATGGCCAAAGCATAGAGATCAAGAGTCTGCTGAATGATGGTATTTGGACAGGATTCGTTTGTTAAACTTCTCCCACCGAAGGTTCAGGGACCATTGTGGAAGAGGGGATGGAAAGATTGTAAGAGCCAGTGAGGAGGTACATGACCCTATGGAAACAGAGTCCTGTAAGTCCCTGGGAACCTGCTCATATGATTCTATGGCAATGGTGTCAGCATACACAAGTCCGATACAAACTCAGGCAGACAAAAACCCAACATAAAGCTGGGAAAATTAACACAAAACCCCAATTTTATCTGAAGAAATATTGGCAACTGATTGTTGCTAGGTGATTGTTCCTAAAACAAGGGACTCTAGATAGTCTGACTAGACTCAATGGACAGACTTGCACTGGGGAACAGCTTGGGACACTGACAACACAGTGGGCCTTAACAGGGATGACAGAGTATATGGGTTCCAGTGGGAGGGCTATGGGAGGGTGCCAGTGGAGACATGGATGTAAAGATGATTATGATTGTTTGAGATGTTCTGTATGAAATACACAAAAAATTCAATAAAAATAAATTAAAAAAATACCAAGTTAATGAACTGCAGATGATTACCATGCGTTCTCAAATTTGAGCCAGTGATTGAATCTTCCACTACTAGTAAAGTTCAGAAGTATCTTGACTATATTTCTAAGGAGCAGGACATAGCCTTCAGTACATTGTCCATCCGTGCTCTCTACCTCTGTGTCTCAAAGCTTCACAGACAGATTGTGCCTCTCTGTCAGAATGAGGCTGTGCTTTGCTGGATGGTTGGGTGAAGCATCTGTCAGTTCTCCTTCATGTGGATTTAAATGTTACTTTGGCATATTTGTATATTTCACAACTATACAACTCATAGTTTATTAATCATTAAACTTCAGGATTTTTCTTTTCACATCCTAAGTTTTCTATTTTTCATGGCATTTGCTGCTCTCACTTCCCAAGATCCAGGTCATTTTCCTTTAGAGATTTCTCAAGGGAAGAAATCAGTTGAGGATAAACTTCTTCATTTGAATTTGTTCAAACACTGTAATAAATTAATATAATAAACCTTCTTTCTCTTCCATGGAAACATTTATGTTATGAAGAGTCACCAGCACATAGAAAAGTATCTAAACATATAAAAGGAATAGTTATTTCTATTAGAATGACCCAAGAGATTTTGAAATCTCAGTTACATCTAAGCTGGTAGATGTCATAGATGACAGGTAATTGTTGAGATATTTAGTTCTTTTGTGTCTTATCACTGCTTACAGAAGATTGAGAAATGATTTGATTTGCTTATATGACAGTACAGAGGTAAATTGGGCATATTTTTGTGTAGAAGGCTGCAGGATGACTGTTTTGGTAAATAAATAACTGAATATGGCTGATTGTACTTATGAGAAACCTCAAGCATCAATTTTTGAATGAGGTTAAATCTCAGCCTTCAATTCTTTTTTTAAGGAAAAGAATCAGTGGCTAAATTCATTGATACTATCACCAATTCTTGAACCAAGGTTTTTTTGTTGCATTATCACGATAGACAGATAGGAAAAAAATCATACATCTAAATGTACTGATTTTTTTTCCTCAAAAATTGGGCTTGAACTGCAAAGTTTCATTAATCAGGTCAATTTTCATATGCTGTGCTAATATTTCTGCATTCTTTTTTTTCTATGAAGATATTCCCACAATCAGTAAGAACATTCAACTATCTATAGAATAAGTATTTGCAATATATTTAATGCCTTTCTATTTGTATTTATAAATATTTTCATGTCTTTGTATATTGTATCCACCCTTTTTAAAGGAAGAAAAGATTTATGGATTAAAGTCAAAACCAAGATATGTTTGTGAAACAGTGGACCAGGGACAGTAGGTGATTGTTCTTATACTGAAATAGAGTCAATGTCTTAATAGTCTCATAGGCAGTTTCTGAATCAAGGAAATTATTGCAGCACAACATAAAGGTTAATTGGAATATGTATGCTATCTTTCCATTTAATGTTACTGTTTAACTTCACATTATCAAATAAAAAGCATAATCTTACATGTGTAACCATAAAATCAATTTATTTATTACTTAATTCTATAAGTATAGTATTTTATATGGATTAACAAATAAGTATAATTGGAGCTATTTGTATCAAAAATGTATTTTATTACCAAATGTTTAGAATGTAGGGGAATAAATATGCATTGTGTTCTGGAAGATTGATGTGGATTTTTATTCAAGAATCTTAAAAATATCTGAGCCAAATTGTTTGAGCATACACATACAGTCGTTGTCTGCTATGATCAGATTCATAAAATTGTTATTTAAAAATACTACCGCATTTTAATAGCACTATTAAACTATTAAATCAAGTTTTCTAGAGTAATACTAATGGTTTAAGTAAAAAACAGTAATATTATTCTGCAGTTTTTATATCATCAAATTTTGAACATAAATTAAATGGCATACCTTCCAGTTTAACTATTCTGAACAAGTACTGAACATAGAGTCCCTTTACCTTATTTCATTTAACATATGTACAGTGATCAGTCTGTGCTTTATGCAGGTACCGATCTCCTGAATCAGGTGCTGGCGGTAATGAGAAGGAGCATCAGGGCGGTTTCTAAATAAACTCAGACTCTCTCTACATGTCATCTGCTACCATATCCATGCAAAGAGAATCTTCTTTCTTGTTTTCAGAGTAAACACATTCCTTCTCAGGTAAATATTGTCAGTGTATATATGATAAAACAGATAATTCCCAAGACATACAATTTAATTTTATGCATCAAGAGGTATTCATTCAAAAAGTATATAGTTATTATATACTAGATGATAGTAATAAATTTCATATTGTTGACAGAAGTCATGATGATTTATTATCTTTGCTCACAGTGAATCACGCAAAATATTAATAGCAGCTCTTGCTTATTTGAGGATCACCAGATGCTCAGCGATGTTTTCAGTGCTTTGTGTGTAAGAACAATGACAGTAACAAAATAATCAAAGAAAGATCCTAAGAAGTTTCCAGCCACAGAAATTAAATGGTGTCACTTGGAGGTTTATCATAGTACACAATGTAACACAGAAAGCAAGTGAATGGATATGAGCTTGTAGCACAGGTAATGTGCCTCCAGACTCCACATTATTCTGCACCATCCTATGCTCTCTCAAAGTATGTCCAGGGTCCTATCTAGATGACCATCAACCGAAAAACATCAGAGTAACAAGTTGGTCAGAATACTTGTCACATCCCATTTGCTAATGGCTACATTGTCCAAGAACCAATAATAAGCTGAACAATTTGTTTCTGATTATATGAATGTAAAAAAAAAGAAAAAAATGTTAGCACAATAGAAAGAGGTGGGGGTACTAACCATGCTGCAGATAATTTGAAAGAAAAGGGTTCAGCTTCAAAAATTAGACAAATTTACAACTATGCTTAAGAAATTACACCCACCCTGCCTGTCAAGCTAATTGTGGACTTTCCTTTAGGCTATTGTGCTTGGGGGATCTGGACCATGTCATTGTCTGAGTACTCTCAGACAGGAAGAACTATAGATAAAACCAAGATCTACTCTTTGTTGTCTTTCCTCCTGTTTATATTTCCTCACAGTTTACTGAGTTTATTCTAGTGGGTGTAAAAATGCTCAAGGTGATCTTGAAGTAGTTGATGAAAGTAATGGATTGGAACAAGTCAATTTAAAAAACACTTGAGGGGGCTGGAGAGATGGCTGAGTGACTAACACTGGCTATTTTTGCACAAGACTCGGGTTCAAATCCCAGCACCCATATGGCAGCTAACAACTGTCTGTAACTCCAGTTCCAGGGAATCAGACAGCCTCTTCTGTCCTCTGTGGGCATTGCACAACATGGGTGCACTTACCTACATGGAAGTAATACAAACATACACATAAAAATAATAAAAATATTTTTTAAAATATTTAAAAAAGCGTGATCAAAATCAGGACAGAAAATTGTGTTGAGAGTCTGTTATCAATAAGGATGTACTGGACAGAGTTATGTCTTCTGAAAAAAAAACCGAGTCCGATGAAATAATTGTTCCAGGCAGCAACATGCTAAATATTCTTTATAGTTTTTTAATAAAGTTGAAATCAAGTCCCTTAAGATTTAATAAAAGACCTAAGGACAAATTCTTTTGAGATATTTAGGACAGAAAGCTAAAGGTACAATGTCCTCACTTTAAGCTATAAATTCCAGTAATAAATCCGTTCAGGGAGTTATACATATGTTTTTATAAAAACATGCCTCCCCAAATATGGACAACTACAAGTAAAGGCTTTGTTATTTGATGTACTTATGGTTTATGGGCAACTTTGTGTGGATTTCTTGAAATAAGTACCCTTCTATTGTTGAGATCTATGCCCCAAATAATATCAGCTAAAAGACCCATTGAGGTTTTGAGACAGAACTTGTTAAATCGAAAATCAAAAAAATCATCTCAAGGGAAATAGTGTTATGAAGAATTCATGGAGTTCCATGGAACAGGAATTCATTAGGTGTTTATTAAAAATCACTCTGTGGGGCTGGAGAGATGGCTCAGCAGTTAAGAGCACGGGCTGCTCTTGCAGAGGACCTGGGTTTGATTCCCAACACCCAAATGGTGGCTGACAACTGTTTTTAACTCCAATTCTAGGGGATCTCTGACACCTTCTTCTAACCTCTGCGGGAATTGCACAACAATAATAAATAGAATATTTTAAGAAAAAAACACCCTGTATTCGCAAGTATAGAGGATAAGGATGAAAATGTTCTCTATGGCAAAATGATTCTTGACCATGTTCACAATTTCATGACAGGGTCTGGTACACTGAGTTCTTATTTCTGAAGCCCACTGTGTAAGGGTAAATGGGACAGAGCAACATCACAGACTTTGTCCTCCTTGGCCTCACTCAGGATCCTGCAGGGCAAAAAGCATTGTTTGTCATGTTCTTACTTATATACATTGTGACAGTGGTGGGCAACCTGCTCATTGTGGTGACAGTCATTGTCACCCCTTCCTTGGGCTCCCCAATGTACTTCTTCCTTGGCAGTCTGTCACTCATGGATGCTGTTTATTCTACTGCCTTCTCACCTAAGTTGATTATGGACTTAATCTACAATAGAAGGACCATTTCCTTTTCAGTTTGCATGGGACAGCTCTTTGTAGAGCACTTATTTGGTGGTGCTGAGGTCTTCCTACTGGTATTCATGGCCTTTGATCGCTATGTGGCCATATGTAAGCCACTGCACTATTTGACCATCATTAACCGACGGGCCTGCATCTTGCTGTTGGTGCTGGCCTGTGTTGGAGGCTTTGCACACTCCATGGTTCAAGTTCTGGTTGTTTATAATCTTCCTTTCTGTGGTCCCAATGTCATTGACCATTTCATCTGTGACATGTACCCATTGTTGGGACTTGCATGCACTGACACCTACCTTGTGGGTCTCACTGTGGTTGCCAATGGTGGAGCCATATGTATGACAGTCTTCATCCTTCTCCTTGTCTCCTATGGAGTCATTCTGAACTCTCTGAAAACTCACAATGAGGAAGCAAAGCGCAAAGCCCTGTCCACCTGCAGCTCCCACATCACGGTGGTTGTCCTGTTTTTTGTTCCCTGTATTTTCATGTACGTTAGACCTGTATCTAACTTTCCTATTGATAAATCTCTGACTGTAGTTTATACAGTTATCACTCCCATGTTGAATCCTATAATATACACCTTGAGAAATTCAGAGATGAAAAGCTCTATGGAAAAACTTTGGCATGAGCTATGGACAGAATAGGAATGTTTCCTTACTGAATACATTTCTAAGTCTAAAGCTACAAACAGACCACAAATTCTAATGAAGGGTGATGTAGCCTTCCCAGTGAATTCTTCAGGTGTGCCTTTTCTTCATGCAAAGTCACTAAAGAATAGAATCAATTTTCATTTATGTTTGGAATTAATTTAATATACAGTCACTAGAAGATAAATAAAAGATAAAGATTATTATTTCAGATAAAGACAGAAATATGCTTATCTTGTAACTAATTTTGCAATTTAGTTTGAAATAAGATAAAGAAGAAAGGAGTTTAATATTTTCCAAGCACTAAACTAAGGAACATTTTGAAATTTATGATCACTCACATTCATGAGAAAGGAATGTAACCAGTAACTAGATAAAATTCTGAGGCTGAACTTGAGGTTTTTTTTCAACGGTATTGCTTGTTAGTCAATCTGTATGGCAGATTCTAATACCTACTGTGGAATTAGAAGGAATCTGTTTCAAGATTCCTTCTATTCTTCAGGACAATATCTATTTTTTTTCCTATTTCGCATATTAGAATGACAGGTTTTATTGTGATTAGCTAAAGATGTAGTCAAAGAATAATTTTGTGAGATAGGATTCAGCTGAAGATAACACCAGTTTATAGTTCTTGATGACAGGCTAGCTATTTTTTCAAACCATACTAAATGGAGTTACAATGCATTTTTATGTTGACCCTCAGTAGTTAACACCTAGAACTTTTCTATTTAGGATGTAAATTTTTTCTTGATGATGTTGAAGAAATAGATAAATGTGTTGGTTCACAATAAATAACATGTTTGCTAAATATTGTATTCAGCTTTAGTAATTTACGTATAGACTTAAAATTATAAAATATTTCAATTTTACATAAATTTGTCACAATTTGGAGCCATGGTGGATCATCAAAAACCAGGAAAAGAATTACTTTCATTGAAATATGGGAAGAAAAACATCTCCTATGGGTTGTAGGATTGTTTTATTAAACAAACTGTGTTTTTTATATTTAATATATAATACTACAGTATGGTAAAATAATGGTGATAAAAATATAACTGAATTTAATTAACATACACATCACCTTGAATATTTGTCCATATATTTTATATTGCTGAAAGAGCAGCTAAGTGCTATTATTTATCATATTCTACATATGATGCAATTTTAACAATCTGTGGTCCTAACACCTATTAGTACAAGTATATGCAGCAGTAAATGAAGCTATGTAGAAAGATTAGGGCTAGAGGTCTGGGTGTAAATAACTTACTTTTATAACTGAAAATGTATCTTGGAACACCTGTTATTTAAAATATTACAATTTTATGCATATATAACAACATAAGCAATTTATTTGTAAACAGTGTGGCTTTTATGGAGACTATTATTAAAACCATTGAGAGTATTTCTGTTCATCTATCTTCTGTCATTCCTCTTCTTTTTTTCCATGGGTAATCTCAGTGCCTAGCTTTTTGTTAATCATAGTTAAAATTGTTTCTCTTCTTGAAATATATATAATTTAGATTTTATTACTATTTTAGTTAAAGGTACAAATATAAAGTTCATAAACATTTTGTATGTAGTATTGATTTTTCCAAGACTGTACTGTGTTGTTGGATGTCAGTTTGTTCTCATCGTTTCCCCTTTCATGTGTCATTCCCTGTGTGAATACAACACAGATTGAGTATACATTCAACTTTAAGCACTTGGATCATTTCCTCTTTATATTGCATATAGTCTTGCTGTAGACATTCTGAAAAGATTGTTTTGTAGTAATTACAATATATGTTCAGTTTTACAGATGACTGCATATTCTTTAATGCTGTATTGGAAGATTCATTCCCACTAGTTAATAATAACTTCTATTCCTCTAAGTCTGTAGCATGAGTAAATATATTTCTGTGTATAAAACTTTACACTCACTCCTCAGCATTCCAAATATCATTATACACCAGTCCATGTAGATATATCTTACTTTCACTTTTATCTTTGCTATAGAAAGTATTATTTATGAATATTTATCAAAATTAAAGAATTATCTGTTCTGGTTGATATCAGATATTTCATATGACAATGATTTTACCATGAAATTTCTTATGTTTTTAACTAAGTAATTAATTGTATTTATTTTTATTTATATTGACCCTAGTCTTTCACATAAATTATTTTGATGGGTAAAATAATTTTCACATAAGTTATGGCTCAGCAGTTAAGAGCACTGACTACTCTTGCAGAGGAGTTAGGTTCGGTTCCCAGCACCCACATGGCAGCTACGAACCATACTTAACTCCAGGTCCAGGGGACTCTGACACCCTCTTCTGACCTCTGTGGCATTGTATGACACAGTGTGAACTCACATACATGCAGGCAATACACTCATATACATAAAATAAAATAATAAAATATTGCCAGGCGTGGTGACACATGCCTTTAATCCCAGCACTCAGGAGGCAGAGGCAGATGGAACTCTGTGTGTTCAAGGCCACTCTGGTCTGCATAGTAAGTTTCAGGACAGCTGGGGCTAGAGGGAGACCTTGTCTCAAAAAGACAAAAAAAAATTTTAATAAAAAAGTTAAAAATAAAGTATTTTGAGCATATTCAGACGTCCTCCACTCAAAATTCCCACCTTACTATCCCCCCAAATTTATGTCCTTTGTTATTATCTGTCTCTTTTAAAAATATTTCAGGTCATAGCTCTAGACAAATGAAATTGCTACCATATGCTAAATATAGCTCCTTATATTTACCAACAAGCATGCTGTATACCACACATCAAAGAAGCTTCTTTTTGAACAGATAGAGGCTATTGCACAGTTCTACAACTGGTCATAAGCAGAAAATAAACATCTGAGAGATGCCAAGACCTAGGTGACATATCTACAGTGACACCCCTACACCTAAGCCTCATTAAAACTTATCCACCCATGGTTCAGAAACCCTAGAGGACAAGGAGGTGGAAAGATTGTAAGAGCCAGAGAGTTGGCCCATGAACATAGGGAAACAGAGACTTTCAGGCCACTGAAAAATTACTCACATGAACTTATGGCAACTGTGGTGTCATGCACAACACCCGTGCTGATTCAATCAGACAAGAGCCCTGAGTAGAGCAAGGAAATGGGTAGTAGGAAGGTCCTAAACTGGGGACTGTTGGCTGCTGATTACTGCTTGGTGAAGGAGAGCAGAATTTCCTTAAGATCTCTATATAGGCTAACTAGACATCAATGGATGAACTTGCATTTGGATGCAAATGCTTGACCAGATAGGACTTAACATACATGACAGGATGCATGAAATCCAGGGGGTGATTTAGAGAGTACAGATGGGGAAGAGAGTATAAATTTGATTAAGATCTGTTATGTGAAATGTATAAAAACTCAAAATAAATATTCTTAAAAGAATATAAATATTGACAAATGAGTTGTTTATCATAATTTATGTGTTTTAATGAATTTGGGAGATGAGT